TTTAATGCTGATTCAGAAAAATATAGTTCGATTCTTCCATCTTGCAATATAAGCACAAAAAGTCAATTTCATCATAGAGGACAGTTTTGGGTATTTTTGAGGTCGTCTCAGTAATTTGAGTTTTTCTCCATGAAGAAATGATTTCTGGAGGCTCGGAAGGTGTTATTCGTAATCAGTTCATTAAGCTGAATCTGAATATGTATAATAAAGTCAAAAAGAAATTCCACTCTAAGTTTGCATTAGGTACATCTTAGAAAAATTTTCTTTACATTATCGTGAATCAGGATTTCGTGATGAATATCCTATTTATACTGGTGGACAAAATCAATTTATTTCATCATTTTGGATTCAATGAAATTGGTTTTTGGAAGTTGATATTTATGAATATAATATTCATTATTATGTTCATTATGCAAGTAACACATTTATTTATATCTATTGAAAGTATTCTCTTTATTTAGTTTTTAGAAACAGATGGTATAAATATATGAATTCTTCTATTGAACCTTCTGATATTCTATTAAATTATGTTAAACGCGTTTTGAATATAACACAAATTTATCATTTAAATATTAAACAACAAATTTCTATTGAAAGATTAATGCAAATAATACATTTATTACCTGATCTTATTACATTAAAAATTAATTCTTTATCATTTTATCGATCAATAACATTTTCTAATCAATTATTTCTCACAGAACATGCAAAGAAAATAAAATATGTTTATATGGAAACGATACATACAATCAAAGATATTTATTTTCTTATATCATTTTGTCCTCACATGGAATATTTCAATGTTGAATGTATTGAATATATAAATATTCAATCATTTTTAAGAGATATTTTAAATGAAATTAATCAGAATCATCATCAATATTTACTTTTATTATGTATTTATATATAACAACAGCAAATGATCAAATGATTAAACAATTAAATAAAATGATTTATGATGAAAAATTTCATTAGATTATACAATTCATCGTGAATTTTATCATATCTTCTTAAAATGGAAATGATTTTTATTTTATTTACGCTTTTTTTTGTTGTTATTGTTAATAATTTCTACAAAATATTTACGAAAAAACTTTTCATGTTAAAACAAATAAACTATTTTGTCATATTACA